AGAGAAAGTGCTTATTTTAACAACAACAAAAAGAACAATTAAGAAATAATATTTGGTACATTTCCAGGAAGGAAACATCTCATATTAAAAAGGGAAAACAATTCATAGCCCTTTACGAAGACATGTGAAACTTATTCAAACCAAAGATGTATTTCATTTTTTTCAACTTTTGCTTAGTTTGGGATGAGGAATTTTCCCCCTTGGGAATCGAGGAAGTTGATTACACCTCTCCCACTAGAATTGTGCAATGCCTTTAAATAGTTCTCCTAAAGTCTGTTTTTCATTATCATTATGAATTTCACAATACATTTCCAAATGTACTTTTGGATATTTTTATTCAAAACTCTGTTCTCCAGTGTTTTAAACTCTTGATTATTCAAAAGATTTTGGAGAGTAGTACTATAAGATTAGGTCCTTTTCATGCAGTATTATTTTAAAAAATAATTAATAAAATCTGTAGCCAGAATCTGACCATTCATATGGAGGATTTTTTAAGTTGCTTTTTAGTATTATTCTACTTATGGAATCATCTTATGTTAGCCTTGGAAAGATCATAGACATCCTTACTTGTAACTTCTGTATATTATCATGAAAGAAAAAAAGTCACTTGCCAGTGGCCCCATAGCTTGTTAGTGGAAGAGCCAAGATTGCAACTCAGTTGTCTTGACTCCAAGTCCTTTCACTTCATTCTGTTGTTAGTCTTCCTGACTTTACTACTCTCTTTGCACACCAAACCCACCCTCCGCTCTCTAGCAGGGCTTGTTTTCTTTGCTCTTCTTTGATTGAGTGACTGCCAGCTCAGGCAATTGGCTGGACAATGGCCGGGTCAGGTACTTGGAAGACTCTTTGAACATACAGGAGCATACTTCCCACCGAGGGAATGAGAAACCTGTGTGTTACAAAGAGTGTGATGTGTGCCAGTGCAGAGGAATGGGCAGTGTATTCTGTGGGTTCCGCGAGAAGGCAACAAAATCTGTCTGAAGAAGTTAGAGAACCTTTAAAGAATGAGTTAGAGTCTTGAAGGATGCTGGAGATTCACTCAGAGGCAGGAGGGCAGAAATGCAGAAGTGGAGGATAGGAAAGAGAAAGAAAGGAAGGTAATATTTACCAAGCGCCAGAGCATCTATCTGGCACAACGAATCTGTAAAAGTAGTATAATTATCTCTTTTATGGTTGAGAAAATGAAGGGTTGGGGACATTATTCTAACATTTCCCAAATGCCAACAACATGCCAGGCATTGTTGCTTTACTCACATGATTTCAATTAATCCTAACAACAACAACAAAAATGTACAAGGGAAGTACTACTCCTATTACACATGAAGAAACCAAGTCACAGAGAAATGAAGTAAACTGCTCAAACTCCCCGAAAATGTGGTGGGAGTCAGGGGAGGGGGGACAGTACAAAACTAGGCACTGGTTGATCTGGAAGCAGGTTCTAACCAGCTTATGATATGCACTGGTTCATTGCAGCTGCAGAGGTAGGATGGTTACAGACAGATCAAAGATATCTTTATATTCCAGGCTAAAGAGAGAGGGTCTTATCTGGTTGGTACAACTTTTAGGTGGAAAATGATTTGACTGAATTTATAGTTTTGAAAAATGTTCAGGTCGCCACATCTCAAATGGATTGAAGGGTAGAGGTAAGGCCGAGGTACTAGTAAGGAGGATGTAAAAACCAGAAGAGAGATAATGAGGTCACATCTAAGATAAAAGTAATGTAGAAGATTTTTAGGGAATAAGAACCAAAGAACATATATTGAAGGAGATAGAGGAGGAATGAAGAATCAAAGTGGTCTCCAAGGTCAGAGAGCCAATAATCATGAAATGAAATCTATGATTTGAAGCTGGGCATGGTGGTATGTGCCTGTTGTCCTAGCTATTTGGGAGGCTGAGGTGGGAGGTTCGAGAGTTTGAGCGCAGCCTGGATAAAGAGCAAGATGGGGTCTACAAACAAACAAACAAAATATATGATTTGAGACAATACTCTCTTTTATAAATAACTGCGTTTACTTTTTTTTTTTTTTTCTTTTTGAGATGGAGTCTTGCTCTGTCACCCAGGCTGGAGTGCAATGGTGTGATCTTGGCTCACTGCAACCTCTGCCTCGTGAGTTCAAACGATTCTCCTGCCTCAGCCTCCCAAGTAGCTGGGATTACAGGCACCTGCCACCACGTCCAGCTAACTTTTGTATTTTTAATAGAGATGGGGTTTCGCCATGTTGGTTGGCCAGGTCAGTCTTAAACTCCTGACCTCAGATGATCCACCCACCTTGACCTCCAAAAGTGCTGGGATTACAGGCATGAGCCACCCACGCCCGGACTAATTTTAAAAATATTTTTAAGAGACGGGTATAGCTGTGTTGCCTAGGCTGGTATTGAAACTCCTGGGCCCAGGTAATCCTCCTGCCTCAGCCTTCCAAAGTGCTGGAATTATAGCCAAGAGCCACCATGCCTGGACATAAAATAAAATGGCTTTGTTTTCTAAAGCCATGCACATCCTCGAATGTCTTTCTCTTCCCACTTACTTACCAATGGCTTGCCCACGTAATAAAATTTGGGGTTCATAATTTTTTTCACAAAGCTATATATCATATTCAGTTTTTCCTGGCATTTGTTTTTGCAAAGAAAAAATGAAATATCAGTTTGATTTTCCCCTTTATGAGTATCTTAATTTTCTTTCCTATAAGTTTGCAACATTTTTCTTTCATCCTGGATATGACTTCTGTTAATTTTGCCTGGAATTTAATGAGTACTTTTGCATTAAAGCTCCAGGTTAGGAATATATCCCTGCATTAATATCACAACCATTACTTCTCCTATGTCTGTCTACACAATTCTCTTGTTCTGGAGTTATGTGGCTTCTTTTTACTGGCCCAATGACAATTCTAATTTTACATTTACATTTTAAACTTTCTTTTCTATCTCTCTACTTATCTAGATCATTTTCTTCTGCAGCTGCTGACTTCTGTTTAAAGGAAACCATGTTGTCTTTCATCTTTTTGAGGATCCTGATCAGATATTTACTGATTTTTTATAGAAAGAAATATTATCCTATTAATATTTAGTAATATAAATAATTCAATAATTTGGTATTGCTAATACAATGCTTCAAAGTAATGTTTCCTTTATGCTAAATTATTTTTCATGTCTTATATCATTGTTACTATTTTTAAGTGTTTCCTTTATTCATAGTCACAAATCTAGCCAGATCTAGAATTCGCTACTATATATCATGAGAAAATGGTATCTTTTGTTTTTAAAGGAAGTCAAGAATTTTAGAAGCATGGCTTTTCAAATAATGACATATTATGAATCCCACCTTTCAATATGATTTTTTATAGTTTTAGTATATTACAATGATTTAGCTTTAGTATCCAAGGGGCCTGGGTTTGAGTCACAGCACGTGTGGTGGTAAAGAACATGGACTCTGGATCTGAATTGTCTGGATTCAAATCCTAGCTCTGCCACTTAACTCACTGTGTAACTATGACAAGTTATTTAAACACTTAGTGGCTTTGTTTTCCCATCTATGAATGGGATTAATAACATTAGTTACTTCATAAGGTATTAGGAAGTTAACAAGATAATATACATAGAACAGTCCCTAGGACTTAGTGAATGGTATATATATATTTGCTTTGAAATTCTATCTCTGTCACCCACTAACTGAGTAACTTTAGTCATCATTGAATGTCTCTAAGCCTCCATTTTCTGATCTTTAAAATGGATATAATAATACTAATGAGATTTATGTAAATATTAATAATATTAATCTTGTAATGCTGCTTATTCATACCGTGAGGATTAAATGAGATAATTTATGTAAAATATCCCCACATAAATGCACACTGCTTGGTTGCAACTGTTATTTAATAGTAAAATGCAACCTGGGACTATGCCACATTTAACTGGCTTAACTGAGCATTGCAAGTCTCTTGATTCCACAATTTCTCTATTATTAAATTTCTGAAATTTAAATTATTTTACAGATGCATAATTCCAGAGGGATTAAGTTACAAATTCAAAGCTACATTGTCTGTGCAGAGAAAGATTTGAAGCAAGGTCAATTAGATTCTGCTTTTAATCCTTCTTTTCCATGAGCCTGGGAAAAGCAGGGTCTTTAATTCTTTTTTGTACAAAGGGCCTAGTTCCTGTCAGTTGGATTATGTTCCTCAAGTCCTTCACTTTATCTTCATCCTTTCTCAAGGTCTTTGAACAGAAACAATGGGGCTTTTTGCATATCTGCAGTTATTCTCCTTTGCTAAGAGAGGGGCTGGACCTCAGTGGTAGAGGTGAGCTGCATAGGATGGAGGAGATGGGCTGTAGGGGACATCATACTTACCAAGGTTTCTTTAATCTGTTGAGGATGATTGATTCCTCCTAATAACTTAATATAAGTTGCTATTTTGAATTTTCCCACAAATCAGCCCAGACATTTCATGCTGTGTTGTGTTGTATTTGAAACTAATTGTGGGACATAAAAGGTCACTTCATACCTTGCAAATAACAAATGACATCATTCTTTAAAAAACAAAAATGTTGGTTTCTCTCTTTACTTGAATTATATTACTTTCTTCCTTTTTTTTTTTTTTTTGAGATAGAGTTTTGCTCTTGTTGCCCAGGCTGGAGTGCAGTGGTGCAATCTCAGCTCACTGCAACCTCTGCCTCCTGGGTTCAAGCGATTCTCCTGCCTCGGCCTCCTGAGTAGCTAGGATTATAGGCGCATGCCACCATGCCCAGCTAACTTTTGTATTTTTAGTAGAGATGGAGTTTCGTCATGTTGGCCAGGCTGGTCTTGAACTCCTGACCTCAGGCGATCCACCCACCTCAGCTTCCCAAAGTGTAGGAATTACAGGCGTGAGCCACCGTGCCCAGCCTACATCACTATTTCTATGGAAAGCTATTCTTTGGCTTTCTCTCCCGTGTTAATTTCAAACGTTTTGTTAACTACCAGCTAAGGTGCCACATAACATGGACTTCTCTGGCTTGTCTGCCCACAGCTTGCCCCTCAGGGACATACAAACCGGAAGGTTCACCAGGAGGAATCAGCAGTTGCATTCCATGTCCTGATGAAAATCACACCTCTCCACCTGGAAGCACGTCCCCTGAAGACTGTGTCTGCAAAGAGGGATATAGGGCATCTGGCCAGACCTGTGAACGTGAGTCTCCCACTGTTGGAAAATAGGAAATATAAAAGCTGATTTCTCTGAGAGAAATATTTTTTGTGTTTGCATCCAATTCATTTAGAATGATCTTTAATGTTCTCTTCTGTAATCATAGTTTTTGGGGGAGTGGGATGATTTGCTTTTATAACATTCTTATCACAGAACACATCCCTGTCTTGCTCCAGTGAAAGGGGAACTCAGATGCTGGGAGTAACATCACCTTGAGATCAGAAAGGCTTAGTACCTGGAAAACATTTAAAATGAATCAAAAAAAGAAAAGCCACAATTTTAACAACAAATTTGAATAAAAATGAGCTCATCTTGATAGAGACACAAAAAACCCTCCAAAAAATCAATGAATCCAGGAGTTGGTTTTTTGAAAAGATCAACAAAATTGACAGACCACTACTAGCAAGACTAATAAAGAAGAAAAGAGAGAAGAATCAAATAGACGCAATAAAAAATGATAAAGGGGATATCACCACCGACCCCACAGAAAT